GCTCCTGACAAATGCTTCACAACCCTAGAATATAACGCCAATATCTTCAACTACTATAAAATTGTGAAACTTTTAATAATTGTCTGAATACATTGACATTTAACTACATAATATGAGGTAATAAGCTTGAGGTCAGTTCAAAAGATGCTTGAAACGGTTGCCTTGAACTTCTTGACATATNAAAAAATAAAAAGGGGGGCATTAAAGAAATGCACAGTATATGCAATCCAAAATAAGATGAAAATTCAATGAACGAAAAGTGTATGATAAAGGATTCAATCGACACTAGTTTATTTGGAATTTGATCAACAAATTCAACAAAATAAACTAAATTCAGTACACTCAGGTCGTATTCATTAGAAATTTAACTGTAGTGAACTTTTAGCTCGTTATATTATTTCTTCTACATTTGTTACATTTGTGACATTATACTTCTGAATTCTAGTCGAATTATTTTTCTAAGAATCCATGAGAGGTGAATTTTTTTGGGCAGAATTTAAGTGCCGCTTTATACTATCATCAATTTTTTTATATTTTCAAGTATTCATTCTGTACGTTATTTAAGACAAAACAAAGTTTTTTCATTCTAACGACACATTTTGCTAATTCATCTTCAATCAAAATAGTAACCAATTGGAAGAATCTGAAATTTTGACTCACCAGGTAATTCCAAAAAGTTTGACGTCCGTCTCTGTCTTCCACGTGGAGTGTTCTGAAAATTCAATGGACCGATATCTTCATTTGACACGTTAGACATATTGGAAGCAAGCGAATCTCTCGAACCCCTTCTCGATGCCAAATATGCTAGGCCACCTTTCACAGAACCCTTCCGCCGAGGAGAACTAGGTCTGCTCAGCGAGGTGGTCATAGTATTCGCGATGTCATCAGTCATGTCGGTGAGATCTGATGTCGATTTTCTGCAGCGACATCTATTAAACAATTCATCACCGTTAAATAATATCCAAAAGTTTGATGAGTAGAATATTATTCAACAAATGAATTAGAAAAGTTATGCTTGATAAGTTCCCAAAGGTTGATTTGAGATAACTGAACCAAAATCAAATCTGAAGATGAGACTGAATGATTGTTCGGAAATTATATACGATTATACTAGAAACTGATGGAAAATTTTCTAGAAACCGGAAAAGATTATTCCATCCCGAAATCACCATTTATGAGATTCACAAAAATCAATTCACGAATATCAACCATTAGAGAGGCTGATAAATTGGTTAAGGTTTTCGTGGCAGAGATTTTCAGTGTTACTATCTTCATTCGGATTTGAAGACCATCATAGTTTGGAACTGCATCCTAACGTTTCGCCAGCACGAGTGGCTGGCTTCTTCAGAGATTTATTCATCTTGATGATTCACCAGTCATAGGTACTTTGATGAGCTGTCGCGAATGAAAGGAAGCGTTATCAAGAACTTTTACACTATTCGTATCCAAATTTGGGTTCAATGTGTTTTCAAACCATCCTTCGAAAATTTTAGCGTCCATGTTCTTACAATGTCAACATTGCAGTCCTCAATGATTAGTCGCGATTCTTTGTTTGCAGGCAAGTTTGGCGTACACATTCTCGAACCATCAGTCCACCCTTTCCTAACTGTGTCGTGAGTGTCATACCAAGTTTTTTCCAAATAGAAAATTTGCTGTTATTCTTGTCTGTATTCAGTTATTTCTTCTAAGTATTTGTTACGTATCCTTCTGCTTTCCATAACTGCTTGACGTTTGTTTATTATTTCAAATCCAAATCCTAGTTTATTTATCCAATTCTGAAGAGGTTTTTACGTACAATTGAGAAAGGAATTTCGGTGAAATCTGATGTTGCTTGTTGTAGTTTGTTTTCCTCGAAACCAATATACATTGAAACATACTCTCTGTGTTTCAATATTCAAATGCATCCGAATCTTATTCACTGGTATCTTTTTTGTGCATTGTTCACCATCGCTATTGGAATCACTACACTGGAAAAAATCTGCGTTGTTATCACACTCGTTATTACTATTAGTACTAGTCCAAGGACGCCACATTCTAAACATATAACAAAAATTTTTAAGTAATTATAACTGCACCAATATCGTATTTTATCACTCAAATCGCGATCAGTTCCTGAACTGAACACGACGGCGATAACTAAGGCCGCAATTCCTCGATTTCTACCGTAATATGACTTCAAATTCAATTTCATGACTCTTCGGCCAATCATAAAACTCAGTAAAAATTATCCAATACGAACCGCCAAGTCTACAGTCCATGTGGACTAGTTTGGTGCCGGTTCATTTCTATGTATTGGTTTTTTTGACCTTTGAGAGTGCTGACAAATTTCTGAATGGATCTTCAAATAATTGATTATTGCGTTCGATTTGTGCTCGGTTTGAAAAAGATGTAAACTTCTTTAGCCGTGGATGAAACTTAGATACATTTCTACGATTCAAAAATATAGTAGTAAGCGATGGAATGGAAACAATAACTGAGAATCACTATTCGGAATTAATGACGGGAAGATATTATAGAGAGATAATGCGAAAAGTTGTACAAAGGTATTTTGGTTTTGCAGAACGATGCAACTGCATACAAATTGCATATTGTCATGCAAACAATTCGTGATTAAGTTTTCGAATTAGTCAAACATTTCCCTAATTTACCAAACATAACTGCTTCTATTATGTCTTTCCTCAATGGAGAGGTAATCAAAGTTGTACAGGGCTGGTTTGCAGAGCAAGATGATTTTTTGATGATACACGTTCGATGTCATAAATATATCAGATTATGAAAAAAATCCTCCTGAAACAGCTTATTTCATATAAACATTGAAATACACGAAAGAAAAATTATTTCGAAACAAATACTTTCCTATGAACACTGAATTATACAAAAAAAATTATCTACTTAGTTTGTATTCCGGACATTCGTTATGGAATTAAATCAGAAATCTTTCACAGGATTGCTACACAATATACTAAATTACATATAACACTGTCATCCTCACTGCTAGATTTTCAATGTTTCGCCGTAAGACACTTGCTTTAGGGCTCTTAAGTACCAATCAGGATGGCGTGTTGGCTGTCCTTGTTCATCTTTCACTGCCGGAACCACTGTGCATGCTGTTTTTGGCGAGTGCATTGGCTTAGGATGTGGGGGTTGAGCAAACCGGCCATCGGATACCTGCTTTCACGTAGCCCCGCTGGATACGGGAATGGCAGAATCACTTGTGGTTCCTTTTTTCCCTAACTGAATGGCATCCCACCGATGGCTTTCGAGATACCGGGCGCTCTCTAGTCGTAGCATCGCCTTGTCATGGTAATGCGGGGCTCTGCCGTGATTAACCTTCTTTCCCTAGCTACTCGTGGGACTTTTATGGACAGAGTAAACTTGAAAATTCTTTCTGACGCTGAGTCTACAGAGGAGTTGGATGTCGAGCTTATAACTCCAACTAACCTCTCTGTAAATTTAGATCGGGAGCGAGAGCTTCTCAAATCTCCAACTCCTGATCCAATAACTGAACCTAAAAAAAGGTTTGGTGGTGCAGCCAGGAAACGACTGAGTCGCCTCCTCAAGAGCGGGGTACCTTATGAAACCGCCTTGCACCAAATTCTTGAGCGGCGTACGCAGAATCTATCTTAGGTGAAGGAACAAACCCTCCAATGAGCAGGTTAGCAAACGTTTGCGCTCAAGTGGTAATTCGCCAAAACCAGATGCGAAAAAGTCCTGTACCGGTAAATCTAACGCAACGTCAGGTGTAGCTGACGTGCAAAAACCCTCATATGGGAAGGTTGTCGAGGGTATCACCTTGACTATCCGACTACCTCATAAATGATGAAACAGCAGAGCATATACTTTGTGCCTGCCCCGCTGGCGACCGAATCAGGTTTTTAGAGTTTTTAGAGATGGTAAGAGCCATACTCTTACCATCTGACCTGAAAGACCACTCACCATACAAACTAATCGGCTTCGTTAAGAAGCTGGGTTTATTTGGTTGAGTGTGAATAGGTGTGAGCCACAATAAACCCTTGCGTGATGTGGTGGAGGGTCGAATAGACCAGCTCACTTTGGACCTAACATAACCAATCTGGATAATATCACAAGAAAAAACCACACAATTCAATCAGTGTTCCATGTAAGTGAAATTTTTACCTTTTATTCAGTATATTGTGTAGAAATCCTGTGAATAATATCTGATTCAAATCCATAACAAATGTTTGGAATAGAAACTGAGTAAAGAAAAGTGTTTTTGTATAATTGTGTTCATATGAAAGTATTTGTTCAGAAAGAATTTTTGTTTCATGTAATTCAATATTTATATAAAAGTAGCTGTTACAGGAGGGCTTTTTCTTCCAGTTTGAGTCTGAAAGTTTCTTCTTTTCATGATCCAAACATCTACGTATAAAGTTTCTTCTTTGAAAACTGATTTCTTCCTTCATTCCTTTGGAAGATTTCCACAATTTTTTGTATCAAGACGGAGTTCTAGAAACTTTTTTTACCAAAAAATTAGTAACTCCTAAAAATATAACGACTAATACACTAATATTGGAAGTCAGTTTCAAATAGTGTTTCTCTCAACTGGTCTGCCATCAACTCTGATACATTTTTCATTAATTTTTTTTGGCCACTATATCAAGTTCTGGAATACATGAATATTAGTGGAGTTTTTCCCACCACCAAACCGTTATTTTAACACCTCGACACGTGTTTCGATCACCAAGTGATCATCTTCAAGAGGAAGATCAAAACAGTTTTGATTCTAGGCCTGTACGAAAAATCAAATTTCTGCTTTCAAAAATGTAGATTGAGAATTATTCATTACATCCTTGTTTGTGCTTTCGGAGACTCACAATAGATGTTTCAACTCATGATTTTCAAAATTAGTAATATATGTACCAAATCATTACAAACAAATTCTCAGCTACTGAAATTCATGATAAAAACAAATAGAATGAAAAAAAAATTCCAAACAAATTATAGAGAATCAGTAAAAATTGTTTTCTTAAAATGAGTATTTACCGTTGTAAAGGTCTCTCTGTTCCATCGGATTCAATAATTGATCTACTTGATTCATTAATTGATCTAGTCGAGCCGTATATATCATCATATCCAGGATTTGTCCTGATGTTGCACCTGGGCTTCCTCTTTTCCTTGAATGAGGAATGTCTTGAACTTATGCTCGCCGATGACGGTCTGTAACTGGAAGTTGTTTGGGAGTCCGAGTCTAACGAGTGGCAGATCTTATATTCTATGTCCTGATAAGCTCCGGTAGGGTGCTTTGTCGTGGAAGAATACTCCAAGCTAGACTTGGTGGAGTTGATAGAGTCGCTCTTAGAGGACTGATAGAGCTGGCGACTAGTCACTCTACTAGATTTTTTCGGTGGAGAAGCAAGGTTGAAATTGAACGGATCACAGTCACTAGAACCTGAAAGTGAAAATTTCGGATTCTTGAACTGTTCGCTATATCTGAAATAATCTGAGTTAATGATTCATCGTGAGAATACATCAAGTGATGCTCAAAAATACAAAATATACAAATTATAAACTCAACTTCTCGATATGTATTCTAAAAGTTCAAGTGTTGTCTGTTATATTATTTTTTATCGTAACCAAATGACGTAAATACAGTTATATTATCAATTCTGAGAAGTGAAAATTGATATCTATATGAAATCATATTCCATGTATTGCTAGAGTGTCATAACTCAGTCCCCGAGGTGATTTTCCATTTGCTTTCACGCTCGGGTGAAAAATGGCTTCATGCATTTTCACTGCATTCTGTTCCAAGGTGAAAATATCAATACCAATTGAAAGGCTCGATTTCCCTTGACACATATTCAATTTGTATGTGCATCTGGAGAGAAACGAAGTATAGTCTCAAATGTGTTATTGAACAATTCAATATTTTAAAGTATTATGTACTTCACAAGAAAACATAATTATTCTCAGGAACAAACATTTTCAATTCATTTCACATGAGTTTCTATAGTTTCAACCAGTTCAATCCAGTTGAAGCGAACCACCATGAATAAGTCATTTGATATAATAATAATAATAATATTTATTCACACCAAGAAAATTACAGAGTATAATTTAACAAATACAGCATTATTGTGAATAAAAAAAAATATACCATGGAAGCAGTAGTTGCTGCTTATTTGTGGGCGTATATACCATGAGTATATACAACCAATATATTCGAGAGTACTATACTAAAATTACTAACAATAAAATCAAGTATTCAATTATTGTGAGAGCAAAGTAAGTATAATTATCAATGCAGACTACCACTAAATATATTCACACAATATGAATATCTAAAATTACTTTCAATTTTCAATTATTGACCTATATAATGACGGGGTGATTGTTTTATAAATAGTTTTAAATCTTTTTTGAATTGGAATGCTGACGTTTCGTTTTGCAATGCTTCGGGAAGGAGATTAAACACTTTCGGTGCTAAATATTGATAGCATTTTTGGCTGTACTGTACCTCTCATACACATATTCTCTAAGGTTTGCACTAGAATGGGGTGATCAACAGTATCGAAGATTTTGGCCAAATCTACGAAGGTCAAGTCTATAGCCTTGTATATTCGAACTGTTAGTTTTTTGTTAGCATCCTAAGTTGATTTTCTCTTCATCCCAACTGTGAATCAGGCAAAATGTTTTATTTCATCAGAAATGAATTCAGCCGCTTTTTTATTATTTTCTCAATGATTTTACTGGTTAGATATCAATGTTATGGGGCGATAGTTTGACATCTCAGCTATATTACCATTTTTGTAAATTGGAACAACAGTAGCTAGCTTGAATGCTAGCTGTATCAAATGATTTATTGTTTATTTATGTAAGCGGAATCTTGATGAAATCTACTATGATTTTCATTGTTTCTACCACATCATCCCCACAAGAACCCATGTCAATTCCATATCCAACTCCCTAACATTATTGAGATCACAACGATAAGTTATGTCAGAAAAAATATAATACCTACTGTTTTAGGTTTTTATTCGAACACAAGGTCAACCTACGAGTTTAACGATATAAGAATTCATAATATTGTTGTATTGCTTACCTAAATAAAAAATGAATTTAGAAAAGTATGAAAATATTGTGAAATTGCTATAAAACTGTATGTGAAATTTTGTATCAATACAATACATGTAATTACACTGCATTGCGTTACATGGAATGTTAGCAATATCCGTAGTTGACTAAAACTAGTCATCATCTCCTGATGCTGTTAACTTGGCCGTCATCCTCAGCAACTTCTCTGATAGTGATTCGACGATTTCCCATAACAATTTTTTTCTCTTTCTCAACATTTTCATCGATTGTAGATGTGGTGTGGCGTCCAGGGCGAGCGTCGTCAATCACATCTTCTCGACCTTCTGTGAAATGCTTGTACCACTTGTAAACATTTTTCTGACTCAGAGTTCAATCACTGTATGCCACTGTCAACATTTCGAGTACTTCATTCCATTTTTCGCATGAAATTTGATAAAAATTCTTTGATCGATTTTTTTCAATGACCGAACATTGCCAAACACACAATACACAATGTTTAAACGAGTGTACCATATACAGTGTGTCCCAGCTAAAACTTGTCACCCCCTTAATCTACGAAATCGTGAAAAAAATTGAAAATTGCTCAAACCCGTCGAGTTTTATTTCAAAGGGGAACACTTTCACCAAATACATCACCATTGTGTTGTCAACCCCCTCATCGCCAGCATTCAGAATTTTCAATGGAACTACTATAGCTGTCATACATCATTTTGAACGGAATTCAATCCTAAATACATCGGTGTACTGAAATTGAGGATCGATTAATAAAAACTGAGTTTTATCAAGATATTTGATGATAAATCAGGAGATCTAGCCGGCCATTCTATTGATCCTCACTTTCCAATTCATCTACCTGTGAAATTGTCAGTCAAAAATTGACGCACAGGTGCAACAAAATGTGGAGGAGCTCCATCTTCTTGAAAGATGACCTGACATTCCAGTAGACTGTCTTCAAGTATCTGAGTGATTCTGGAGTTCACACTTGTATCAAGTGTTATGTTTGTCGTTGAGGTTACCATCAATAAATATGAACATACCATATGGTATCCCAGAATACCAGCCAAAACATTCAATTTCTGGGGAGTTTGTGAATGAGTTTACCTGTATAGTTCAAGNTGGATTCCATCACATATCGGCATTAAGGGAAATGAAAAAAGTGACCTACTTGCAAGAAATTCAACAAAGAGTGAAGCACCCCCATGTACGAACATAATTGTCCAATCCGATTTCAAAAAAATTGTGAGGAACATTCTGATAAATAGTTGGCAACAAAAATGGAACACCAATGGGTCAAAGCTGAAGGAAATAAAGTCGTCAGTAAAACAATGGAAATACATACCAATGCCTAGGAAACATCATGTCATCCTCACAAGACTTCGTATAGGACACGTATAGGACGTGAAGAACCACATTGTGATATTTGCCAGACAAAAATCATTGTTAAACACATTCTCCAAGAACCAGCCCATCTCCTTAAGCTTATGTCAAATCCTATCTCTTCTTTTGAGATTATAAATTAAACGTAGACATGAATTTTGTACCTTTTCTTCAACCTACCTTCCGACAGTTCCCCTTTAATAATATAGTTAGGGAGCTAACTTATTTTGTTACTCAACAATTATTTCTGATTATATAACTCGATCAAGTGTTGTTGAAGTTTTAATGAAAACTAAGTTTTATCAAGAAATGTTTATTTTTCATTATCTAAAATGTCATCATCGTAAGAAAGGTTCACTGTGGGTACGCCACTGCATTGAAAAATAGTTTAGAAGGTGAGGCAGACGTTTTCATATAAAAAAAAAAATGTCGCCATGTGTTTTGGTATACGCGAATCTGTGTTCAAGCCTTGGTATATTGATGTATTTGATTCACTTCACTTATCAATTTGAAAACTTTCGAAAATAGTTTATACTATACAAGAGGGAATATATATTGNTTCATAAAGGCTTAAACGAATTTAATAAACTACCACAATTTGTAAAAGAATCTAATTCAATAAACCAATTTAAGTCATCATTAAAGAAGTATATTAGTGACAGCTTATTATGATATTTGTATTTTTTTTTATTTTTTTAATGGGAACTAACCTAATAATCTATAGATATGTATGTATATTTGGTTTTCCTTGAAAGGTACTTTAAAATGTTACTATATTTACGTAGTTAATGTCGTGAGATATTTATGAATTTGTAATTTTTCTTTTTTTTGTATATTGGGCTTGCCTACTTAATAATTAAATACAAAAGAAGCAAAATTCCATCCTGATGAAATTTAGAATGTACAAGAATTAAATGAAGATGATCCTGACAGACTCACAGAGTTTTGTGAAATCATGAGTCAATTATTTATTGGTGACAATGATTAACTCTACAATGTGTTCTTTTCTGACGAATTTTCTTTTTATTTAAATGGACATGTGAACAGACCCAACTGCAGATACTGGAGTGATGTAAATCCTCATTGGTACAGGGAAACTCATTCACAAACCCCCCAGAAATTGAATGTTTGAGCTGGTATTCTGGGAGACCATATTGTAGGTCCATATTCATTGATGGTAACCTCAACGACAAACGTATCTTGAACTTCTTGTTACAACTGTTAACCCCAGAATCACTCAGTTACTTGAAGACGATGATAATCTACTGGAAAGTCAGCTCACCTTTCAAGTTGTTGCGCCTGTACGTCAATTTTTGAATGACAATTTCACAGGGAGATGGATTGGAAGGCGAGGATCAATAGAATGGCCGGCTAGATCTGCTGATTTATCATCAAATATCTTGATAAAACTCAGTTTTCATTAAAACTTCAACAACACTTGATCGATCCTCAATTTCAGTACACCGATGTATTTGGGATTGAATTCCTTCAAAATGATGTATCACAAGTACAGTAGTCCCATTGAAAATTCTGAAGTAGGGTGTGCAGGGGATGACAACACAATGATGATGTTTTTGGTGAAAGTGTTCCCCCTTGAAATAAAAATTTATGGGTCTGAGCGATTTTCAATTTTTTTCACGAGTTCTCCGATTAGGGGGGTAACAAGTTTTAGCTGGGACACACTGTATATCAGGAAAGGACTAATATACTATTTAATAATGCAAAATCAGATTGAAATCATCTTCTGGCGATAAATATGTATGGTTGAGTTACATCCAAAATATAGAACACTGAGTATGTTTATAAATTTTCACCCATATTTTCACGAGTGCAACTTTTAGTTTTCCAATTCCTCTGAATCAGTTTTACAGAATATTGTTTTCATCCCAGACAGTCGGAACGTATTAAGTGATGGATATTCTTTTTTCTTTTTTCCATTATTCAAGGGTGTCACTATCCATAAGAGAACTCAAGTAGAGGATAATTGAACACACTGAACTGAATATTTTACCTTGTCATTTCAAATTGCAACAATTTGAGTCAGTTTTGTAGGTTTGAACTTGACATATACCATTTACTTTTGCAAAATATCACATTCATCTCATCTGAAATGTATATTGCGAATGGGAAAGTAATATCTTGTTTGTCAGATATTCTACATATTATCAACTTTGGAATCACAAGTACAAAAGAGTATTCGATATTTTCTCTGCTACGAAGATCCCTACGTTTTTCTGGGATTTTTGTTCGTTCATTCCACAAAAATGAGTATTTTCGAGTATTTCATGAAACTAGAGAATAGATTTTCAACTCAGATTTCAACTCTGATTTGATTATTGTATTCAAATCACAGCAAATCGTTAACTCAGAAAAATAAATTATGTACTTAGTATGAGCAGATTCGTTTAATATTCGTTTAATAAACGAGAGATTTTTTGAGATTACTTTTTTGAAAGAAAATCATCAGAAACAACTACCTTCAAATATGAATACGATGAATTTTTCCCATTGAATTTGTACTCCAAACATTGGAAACATATATCACACGGAGTAACGCTACATAACATAATAAATGAAGTGAACTATAGTTCAACAAATTGGTTAGAAAAAGTTTCACCTACGCTACGTACGCAATTCAGAGATGTATGTATGTATGTGTATTACCCTGTTTAAATGGTGGTTGCCATAACGAAGACGACAAGAGAGAAGGTACAACTTGAAAGTACAAAAACTGTTATAAACCGATATATCATAAAGTTTGTTCCCTTTTGTTTGAAGGTGGTTGACAATGTTTCGTAGAGTATTTCATCAGTTCATTGTCTAATACAATATAATCTGATTCGAAATCCCTGAAAAAAATTAAAAAGATTACCCGAAAATAACACTTTCATTAAACAATAAACTGAAATTACAAAAAAATAACATACAAGCAATAACCAAAAAAAACATTAAGTATTAATAAAAGCTGAAAATTGAAAAATTAAAAAATATTATCAACAGAAATGAAAAATACGAAGATTCCAAACCAAGTTACGTCACGACGTTTTGATTGTTAGTATCCACAATCGTCTTCGGGTGATAACTGGACTTATTCCTCCGAGATCTGACTATTTATAGGTCAATCGAGTGCTTTCACCTATCCCCTCTTCCCTCTGTCCGCTTCATTGGTTTTAGCGGCGAAACTACCGTTTGGCGGGAGTTGGTCGTTTTTTGCTTGATTAGAGGTTTCCATATGTTACGTATCTCTATGCTAGCTTGACTAAATGCATTGTTGGACAACATATACCCGGCTTCCTTGAATTTTTTCCTAAACCAGTGTTCCTCTTTGTGGATGATTTCAGCTTGAGCCCACTTGATGTTATGTTGATGAGTCCAAATATGCTCTGCTATTCCGGATTTACTGGTTTCTCCTCGCTTTGTGTGTTTCTTGTGCTAAGCAATGCGAACTTTCAATGGCCTCTTAGTTTCACCGATGTATGATTCTCCGCATTCGCAGTGTATCCGGTAAATGCAATTCTTCGAATCGCAGTCCGCGTTTGGTAGCCTGGTTTTTGTGAGGCTGCTACGGATAGTGTTCCCAGATCTAAAGCAGGTCCTGATGTTATACTTGGACCCAATACTTATTATCCTTTCCGATAATCCTTTGATGTAGGGAAGTACAAGTACTGGTTGTGGCGGCTTCTCTCCCTTGTGGAGTCTTGCTGTCTTCTAGCTGAAGCATGTTCTACCATCACTCTGAAGTAACAATTCCGTTGAAGGTCATTTTTGATGATGCCTAGTTCCTTTTCGAGAGCTTCCTTTGTATTACAGGACCCGAAAGCACGGTCTAGTAGAGTTTTGATGATTCCTCTCTCAGTCGATTGATGGTGGTTGGATTTATGGTTCAGAGTGAGTTTTCGATATACAGATGTTTCCCATTCAGGGTCGATCGTCTTCACCAATACGTCTAAGAAAGGCAATTCGTTGTGGACTTCCTTCTTCATTGTGAAAGTGATGGAAGGACTGACGTTGTTGATGTGCTTCAGGAAAGTGTCTAGTTCTGCATATCCATGGTTCCATATTATGAATGTGCCATCTACGTATCTCAACCATACTCGGGGCTTCTTGTGGGCTTCTTCAATGGCCAGAGTTTCAAACCACTCCATATATATATATTGGCCATAACCGGTGAAAATGGCGATCTCATTGGCAGTCCCTCATCTTGCGTAAAGAATTCGTCCTTCAGTTGAAAGTAGCAGTTTCGTACACAGCATCCTCGTTATTCCATGATTACTTGTATCGGTAAGTTTGTTCTATGTTTCAGGTCCCCATCTTCGGATAGCTTCTTCTGTATGATTTGAAGTGCTTCTTCGACAGGAACGTTGGTGAAGAGGCTTTCCACGTCGAAACTGATCAGTTGATCCTGCTCTTTGACTTCGATTTCCCCTAGTAGTTCAACTTATATGTTGTCCAACAACGCATTTAGTCAAGCTAGCGTAGAGATATGTAACATATGGAAACCTCTAATCAAGCGAAAAACGACCAACTCCCGCCAAACGGTCATCTCCCGCCATTATTCAAATGGAAATACGGACTGAGTTTTTCATAAAATTCAATGATTGAAATCATTTCTGGTTTCCAGCTATTCAAATTCAAAATCTTTGCAGCAATGAGTAATGAAAGTTAAGCGATATATTTGAGTGTATTGGTATACTGAAGTAATGAACCAAGTTTTGTCCTTCATATTCATCACTAGAAATAGCTGAGTTAATTTTATGATTTTTTTTCGGTTGTAGACAACGGACATAAATCAATGAAAGTGATTGAAGTGGTCTGAAGTTGTGATTACATCTAATCATGAGACATAGTAGTATTTGAAAACGCGATTGACGCATTTTCTAGTACTTCTAGTAGAACTGCGACCAGAGAGTATTTCAAGTGCGGAAAACACATAATGCAGAAGACAGATTGGTAGATCAGCAGCACATGTTCAAGTAGGAAAATAAAGAAAAAGAGGTAAATGATACCACCCATCGAGGAGAAGAAAATCCAATCCTAAAAACTGCTTAAAAGACAAGGCAAATTTACCAACAAATGACTTCTACTGACCAATGACAAAGAGGTTTGAGTTTTTCAAAAACTACCTCAAATCTAAGGGAGACTATTTGGCTTGAGCAGAAAAGAGTGTCAAAAAATCCCTATACGTATGTGATGGACAAGGAGAAGGAAGGAGTAGAACAACCCAGAACTTCCAAGAATAAAAATAATGTGTTCTCATATGTGTTGATAATTTGAAAATATCAAACGTGAAATTTGAAGTTTTTCGTACTTTCGTTACTTGTTAATTTAGTTGAGACGGTTTTTTTTTCGTGAGTTATTCTCAATGAAGAGGTTGACCAATAAATGTACCATTCTCTTCCGAACCCCACAAACGTAACCCTATTTCAGATATTGAATCCGGTACAGAATAAGTCGAAAATTCTTCTTATTAAGTGTTGTTTGTATCCAACTCCCTGTCCTGTTAATGGTATCTGTTCCTGTTTTTCTGTTCATCAGCTGTCGCCCCGCTACGAAAGACAACTTTCAAAAGTCGAATCTTGTGCAAGCTAAGGACAAACGAGATCTTACGTTTCAACGTATGATTCCTAACACTGGTATAGAAGATATATAAGTAGCGATATATTACGAATCAGTAATTTGATTATTTTATTCAGATCTCAAAACTCTTTGACAATAATGGAAAAAGAAATGGGAAAAAGGCTCATAGTGGGTTAGCCATTGATATACTTCAACTCACCAGCAACATCTCTACAGTCGTCATCATAATTGAACTTGTTCGGAGATCTAGGAGACCTAGGAGATTTTGCTGGAGTAGCTCTTGCTTCAGTTTGACAGAAATTGAATATTGCCCTTTCCGGGTGGTTGGGACTGCGGCTAGGACTGATCAGCGATACTTTCGGCGATCGTGGTCCAATTTTTGGACTTGCGTAATTTGGAGATTTCGGATCCATTGGCGATTTAGGTTGATCACTAGCAAGGTCTGTAAAAATAACATTTATTCAAAACATGGCCATTATTTTATCCAGTTCTTGGTACACTCAAACATTCAAGGTGATTATTCATAAAGAAAATGCTTAACTGATCCTACCAAGTAGCAGGCAGACCGTAGAGAAGAAACTATATCTCAAATCATTTCCACTTAAAGGTGTTTATGGCAATGGCTTACTATCAAGTTTTTTCCATGATGGAGTCATATAGTTTGGCGACACTGAATGAATAGACATGAAATGGTATTTTATATTCATACAGGTCCATGACTTGGACCTCGGACAAAGAACATCTGGAGCTTTTAGGTATGATTAGATTGGAAAATAGCCCTTTGAAAGGGTTCAAGATGGTTATCCAGACCGTAATGTGTTGAGGTAATTTTCAGTGCGAAATGAAGTTGTTTTCAACAACCAGAATTAGTGAGTATGAGATTCTTTGAAACTGTTTAATTTTTTCCCATTCATATTAATAGACTTTGACTTTGATGTTTCTGAATTGGACTTTCAATTTGTTACACTCCATGACATTTTGTTATTGTACAAGTCATTGAATTTTTGGCAAAAAATGGCTTTCACGAATGAAGAAAAAAGAGATATGACACAAATTTATTACACCAAGTTTGGTTCGTTTGCAAAGCCAAAGAAAAATACGGGGACAAAATCAACAATAAAAATTTGATAAATGAGGTGTATATGAGATAAATTAGACATTGTGTCCTTTTCAATGAAAATAGAATTTTGAACAAATAACAATAATCAATTAAAATGTAAAGACAAAAGTAAATCACAGCAAATGGTCAAAATGCTAGCCGTGTTCATGATAACACAACTGTGCCCTCCTCAATCTTCCGAACTCTCTAACAATGCTGTGTTGGAGGTCCTCAATATTTTGATATTCCCTATGACCATAAACTCTATTTTTCAGTGTACCCCATAAGAGTGTAATCATAACACTTAAGTCTGGAGACCTTGCTGGCCACCTCACCGGCTCATTATTTCCCATCCATTTATCACCAAACATTTCAGACAGGTAATTAGATACTCGTCTGGTAATATGCGGTGGAGCACCATCATGTTGATTTTTTTAAAGTTAGTCAAAGGTAGATCATCCAAATAGTCTTCGAAAATAAACATTTAAAACTGGTGATAGTTTTCTCCATTCATAATTCCGTCATATGAATGAAGACCCAAAATTCTATCTTTCTAAATTCCTGCTTACACGTTAATACTTAATCGTACTTGAGGTCGAATTTCTCGGAACTGTCTGGGATCGTTTATGCTCCAAATATGTAACTTATTGCGGTTGAATATTCCACAACTCGTGAAAGTGATTTCATCTGTACAAATTACATTTTCCAGGTAAATCAGGTCTTCTTATTAGTCAATTACAAAATTCTAAACGCCATTTGGGATCACCTGGATGCAATTTTTGAGATATGCGTATTTTGTAACATTTTAAACCGCTTTTTTGAGATGCCTCCAAGCACTTGTATGTCAAATATTTATTTCGAAGAAAATTCAAAGTGTAAATTTCCCCTACTCGTGAGTGTAATGCTAACGTTTGCATGACCAGTTACTTGTCAATCGAACATCATTATTATTATTCGTAAATTTATATTTTGTTGAAGTATTCTAATTTCCTAATATTACGAAGTACAGCTCCGTTCACTTAAGGAAGAAATATTATCCACTGTATCCACTGTGATTCCTTAAATTTATAGGAGAAACTTTGAATGTTCAAGAACTTTCGTTTCCAACTGGATATGTGAATATATCATTATCTTCGCGTCCAGAAAAGTTTTTTTGAAAGAAGATGTGACAATAAATTTAAAAAAACAGTATTCGATTTTTCCAGATAATAGTGTTGTTTTGATATTCTCGAAACAATTCCCAAAGTAATTTCTATGTCTACATATTCTCTTGGGTGAAACATTGCACATCAATCATCTGCTTATCGCATTAAATTACCTCTGGTATGGTAATTGAGAGACGGGCTTCGAGGAGTTGTACAAGAAGATGGAGTGGAGTACGAAGACTTTGGCAGGACGGTGTTTTTCTTCGCTGATCGAGTCGAGCTGCTACGCGAGAAGTTGCCGAGGCCATTGTTGACTTTCATTTTTCGGGAGTTGTTGAAGATATCTAGATGATATGGGTTTCTCTGATATGTCACATTTTCGAAGTTAGCTCAGGAGAGTGTCTGAAACAAAATCTAACAATCATTATCGTTATAAAAGCAATGTTCAGTCATAACTATACCGTCACTTCAGTATGAAACAACACTCTCCACATAAATACCAATTTTTATGTCCGTTGACAACGGGAAATCTAATTTTGTACTTGTGATGTACTATTTGAAACCTTTGGTGTAGTAATATATATTACTGGAGTTTTTTACTAATACCAAACGTCAACTTTAACACCTCGACACGTGTTTCGATCGCCAAGTATCATCTTCAAGAGGAAGACCAAACTGTTTGATATTCCTCTCAAAGATGGTCACTTGATGATCGAAACATGTGCCGAGGTGTTGAAATAACGGTTTGGTGTTGGAAAATCTAATGTTCTACATAAAAATATGGCAAAACACTAACTGAATAACTCAATAAGAAAGAACAATAGGTTTTCTTATGAAACATAAACTGCTTTTCTTCGAATTTTTCTCCACCTTCCACGAACTGAAAAGTTTAATAATTATAATGAAGAACTTCATAGAAGTGTGCAGTTCTTTCTGCCTGTTGAACATTTTCAAAACATGGTGTACCTTTTTTACTTGGGAAAGGTGTGGAAATTGGGTTTTTTCATGAACGGTACCAAAAGTTCTCTGTCCAAAAAGTTAGGGCAATAAATAATGACAGTACGCAGCACCCTCTAGATTTTACATGCAAATTAACACGAAATTATAATTTCTCACGTCAAAAAAACTCTGGGTACCAAATTTTGTGCAAACAACTTATTTTTTGCAAAAGGTAGTTTTAAAAAACGAACAACACCTTGTACCTCCGAAAAGAACCATTTCCGGACACAAGTTTATATAAAAATTTTTCCTTAAAATTTTCTCAGGAATACGTCACTTGAATCTATTAACATACTTATGTAACACCCTGCATTTTTCTCGAAGAGAAATGTTCTGCTTTTCAATAATTTATCGTTCAATGATTTTGCCTATTGAAAAAAGCTAAGAATTTCATGAGATCACATAAACAAGCACTTGAATGTTAAAGAACATTTATCCCATTTGAGTAGAAAAGTATCTAGTGGATGTTATGTTATGAGTGATATCAAATGAACTAGCTTACACTATAGTTAGAATGGCTTACTTTGCGATGATCGAATCTTAAATTTGCTATGGAATACCTTTCTGGGGCCATTGTAATTTATAGTTACATAATACGATATTTGTGCTTCAGAAGAGGTCTTTGAGACACCTTACAAAGTCTAAGCCGAGAGATCACTGCAAGCCTTCATTCATCAGCTGCAAAATATTAACTGTCACCTATTTCTACATACTGAAAACAGTATACTCAATTCATAAAAATAAAACTAGTATGTACACTCCCCGAACAAATTGTCTCAACACCAGACAGAACCGTATGCTTTACTTACCTATTCCAAAATTCGCTTTGCCTCAGTGTTCTCTGATTAATGAAGGTATTAAAGTATATAATACGGCAAAACAGATTTTAAACAGATTGAAGTAGATATATAATCACCTTCCTACCATTCTGAAAAATAGCACAGATATCAAAAAGTGCCGAAGAACAGTTTTAGATCTTTAAATCAAAAAAGCTCATTTTCGATCCATGAATTCTACAATGATAATCTGTAAATTCTATTTGATTTTCCAATGTTCACCTAAACTCATCTGTCTTCTTAATGTTTCATTTATGAAATAACGATGTTTGTATTTTTTATATTTTATGAAACGTATTGTATTTTTTTATGTTTCATGACATGCATTTCATTTTTTACAAGACTTTGTCGACAAGATACTAGTCTTCCGACAATAAAGCATATATTGATATTGATATTGATATTGACACCTATCTTGACGTTTCAGTAACCTAAATCTCTATCCGTCTTCAGAATCAGCTATTTCACAGTTTTCTGCAAACTGCTATATTTCTCAATTTTTTTCGATAGATATTGAAGTAGTTCTGACAAGTATCTTATGAAAATCCTAATTATTTGTTCGATAGAACTCAGGACGAAACGATTCCATGTTTCGGTCTCAGAAATGTTTCAGTTCTTTTTTGAAAATTATCAAATACGACAAGTTACTGATAAACATAACGTTTTTCTCTGAGAAGAAATTTGATTGTACGAAGTAACTTATCGTGTCAAACTATTAGTTTGTTCTTACCGATGTTCCCAACAAAGAAACTTTCTGCTTTAACTATATTATTTCGTTTTTTGTACACGTATGAAGTTCTCAACTATTAATTTTTGATAAATTGATGGATATAGCCGTTACTACGTGGTAGAAAATCATGATGAAAAGAGAAATGAAAATTTCTTATGTTTTTTACAACTTTTATTTGTAATTAACGTTACTGCAGTTTCGTGGAAATTTCGAGCACACTCCGGACCCTTAAGCCTATAAATTCCTCCACTTTGAGATACCTATAATGGACTTCTACCACAGGTTATCTTCATTGAAGCTGTTGTCGATTTCGGCTACACGGAACCCTGAGAATTGTTATAAAACAAAAATGTTTCCTTGGGTTCTGCCTAGTTATTCATCCCACCTTCCACACAGTATTTTATTTTTTTTTTAATATATGGATCAATAGTATTTGTAATGGAGAATTGAACAGAAACGTATGTATTTTTTGTACATTAATGTATTTTATCCATCATTTTCATTATTTTTTATTCTACTATTGTTATTTCGTATCAAACTTTCGTGCCAAAATAATATCCACTTTTCGTCAGGACAATTATTTTATTGACAATGTCAAATTGCATTCAAAACTCTTTTTTTTTCAATAACACCATTGTCAATAAAATAATTGTCCTGACGAAAAGTGGATATCATTTTGACACGAAAGTTTGATACGAAATAACATTGGTGACGCGACGTGATCGCGAAATGGAGGAAGAACGAAAATTGAGCCAAAGATGCACCGCTGGTTGGAATAGAAGCCTATCAACAGATTATATTTGGCCACAGAGATTCGGTGTTCCACTCAGATTTGGTGTAACAACAGCAGTAATTAATCCCCTCAAAAGCACATCTGAAAAAATACTAACAGCTGAGTCTTCAAAATCCAGGAAAAATATCGAAATATCTGACCCTAATCAAGTTGTGATAGAAAGTGACAAGGTCTCCAAGAAATCGACTAAATATACGGAGATACGTTCTACCACAACCAACAAACAAATCCAAGCATAGTATTGCAAGTTTGGAGAGAAACGGCATTTAGAGAACAATTTACGGCTTCTAAAAATGCAACAAGACCTTCAAAAGTTAAAAAGTATTGATGAAACCAACTTTCATGAAGATCCACGAACAAACCTGAGCGAAATATCAAAACACGAGGAAGTAGTAAAATGGATAAATGACATTCCAGATGGATGTCTGAAGATTTCTCTTCATGGTTGGAAATAACAAATATAATATATATGGTTATCCGGTCCCATAAACATTATTAACATTATCAATTTAAGTTAAGTAGTATAATCAAATTCTTCTTCAGAGCTCAAATAGTAGTTTCATCCTGTTGATAATATTACTATTTTAAAAACCATCAAACATATTAGATACATAATGAAAAAAAAATAAAAAATATTACAACAACCAAATTTCCGAGACGACACCAACACAAAACAACATGAAACAAACATTTGTTTCATGTCGAAAGAACACCCATACGAAATTCGAAACGTCGGCAAAAAAACAATGTTTTCTCAAGAAAAAATTCATTCTGTTACCCAACCAACTTTTCTTCAGAATTATCAATTTCATTTCACTGAAATTTGCACATTCTCTACCACTAAGTTCATTGTTGTTGTAAGCTAACTTCCACTCGAAACTGAAAAGTTGTTATTCATCATAATTTTAATTAAAGTCTCACCAATTGGTTTGGTGAATTCATATAATTTGCTGACGAGAACAAATCTCATGAGAATAAATGAATGGATTACATTCATTTCATTATATTCAAACTTCTGAATGCTTGTTTTGAATGTTATGATTTTGAAAATGTATAATTTTCTTCTGATATCTTCCATTATTTCTGATGAGTTATGATAGTATAAATATTTATTTACACGTTGATTATTCTTCAATATGATATTCTAAAGTTACAAGGGAGCTGCCGCCTCTAAAAATTTCGCCTACGGACAGTAGCGAAAAAAATTTGTTTTCCGTTAATCAGATCTTTCACCTCCTTCGAACAACAACTCTCAAAAGTTGAAACCCATGCGAGCTGACGATTAACAAGGTCTTACTATTCAGCATACGGTTCCTAAGTTTTATCATTAAAATCTGTTTGAAATATATTTTTTCGTTAACCAGCTATCGCACCCCTGCGAACGACAACCCTCAGAAGTCGAAACTTGTGCGAGCCAAGGACTAACTGGGTCTCACCTTCTAACGTGTGATTCTTAACACGGGTTGGATAATAGCAAGTGAAAATCGTTCAGCCTGGGGCTTGAACCACCGACCAACACGGTGGCCGATTTGAGTGAGTGAACAAAGCACCCACGTCGAACCGGCTACCGTCCGACTAACAACGAAAGATTATTGTGAATATTCGAAAGTAAAGAACATGAGAGACTTGATAGATAAAATTGCAACCTCTGGCGTGAAACGAATCTATTGAGGATACTTTTTCCACATCAAAACAAAATACTGTATTTTGGTGCGCGTTTCGCTAACCAAGTTAGAAATCTAACAATAAAACTCAAAAAACTTGTGATAGCGTTCAATTCAACGGATTCTAAAACAACTCGACATCAACGAAGATTCTACTAACGAGCTTGCACCAGGTTTTGAAGATACTCAACCTAGTTCATAAGAAGGATATTTTCTCCCACTTGAGTTAGCCCTTTACTCAAAAAAGGAAAACAATCTTCCTGAAATGAAACACAGACTACTTCGATTACTTTCTTTTTCAATGCCAGAGTATCGTCATATGTTAACCAACTCACAAAAAATATT